CATTACTATTATATATATTCTTATGACGGTATTTGATTGATCGATCATGTTATAGATGCAACCATTTGTACTATCGCTCAATCAATTAATAAATGTAATTTCATTGTTCAAATGTTTAATGTCTATATGTTTGATCCATTGCTCACATTCAATAATATAATAACAAATCTTTCACTTAATAAAATTATAAATTTTAAATAGATAATAAAAATTTTACCACGTGCATTGCACGTGCAATCAAACTAGTTGGTTAAAAGTGGGCTACAATGACACAAAATATAATATGGAGTTTGTTTTTAATCCTTGATAGACTTTAAAAAAATTCATAAATTAAATATTAGTGCTAACTCTAGTACACTTTTATATAATAAAAACATCGACATAAGCATATAAAAGTACTAAAAAAGTTTATGAAAATATCTTCTAAAGATTCCTAAGTTACTCAAAAAAAACTATTCTATAAAATATTTAGAAAATAGTGCATTTTATTCCTTCTGTTTTATTTTTTTATTGAGACGTTATCAATCATTCTTCACATTTATCTTTTTTGACAAAATTAGACTACTTTTAGATGTTGAAAAAGGATAATAAAATCTTAAATTAGAAGTTAAATTTATATATCTTAATGACAAAATATTAAACAACTACTCTTTTTTTTTTTGCTAAGTTTTGAATATTTATTCGCTTTTTTGTGATTTTGAATTTTTAAGGGCGTGTTTTGTAAATTTTGAAACTTTGAGAGTGTTTCTTTCTTTAAAAAAATTTAAATTTTAAGTTAGATGCTTGTAATTCTATATTTCATGTGGGGTGGTAAGTTTTTAAATGTCATGATATTTCTCACAACTCTGAATTTTGAGGGTATTTTATGCAATTATTATAATTTTGGATTGTTTGTTACAAAATTTAAAATTTTAGCGGGCTGATGATAATTTTGAGATTTGATAGGTATTGGTTATGAGTTTTTAAAATTTAGTATTTTTCGTTATTTTTAATTTTTTTAAGGAGATTTTTATAATTTTATATGTTTGAGGTTATTTTTCACAAATTTTAAATTTTTAATGTCTGATGGTAATCTCTTGAATTCATCTTTGTTGTTTGTAAGTTTTAAAATTTTTGAATTTCAAGGTGTTTTTTTATTATTTGAACTTTTGAGGGTGTTTTTATAGTTTTTAAAATATTAAGGATGTTAATTGTAAATTTTAAATTCTTCAGGGACTGTGGATGTTTTGTGTAATTTTAAACTTTTAATGGTGTTTTGTGGAATTTTGAAACTTTATTGGGTTGTTTTGTAATACTGCATATATTAGAGCATATTAGTTATTTACCTTAACAGACTGATTCAGTGGAGCTATCTTATGTATTATATTAATATTATTTTTTAAATTATTGACTTGTAAGTAGTTCACATTGGATTAGAATATGATATAATTATGGTTATGATAGACTAAAATTTAAATGAAATATTCAAAATAATCAATAATAATAATGATCATGAAAAGATTTTTCCGAACCGGTATTTTTAAAGAGAGTATGATAAGTAATTCTTTACTTATAAGCTTCAAAAAATAAGCCTTCCCAAAGGATTAATTGTCATAATATAGGGTTGTCTGGTATAATTTGGAAGCTCAGGGGAGTTTAGTGAGAAAGTTTAGGAGCTGGTGTTCGATGCGAAATTAAAAAGAAGCTCTGAAGGGTCGCGTTCTCCAAAGTTCAGGGGGTTTCGTTAAAGTTTAGCTATGGGAATTTGTGAAGGATTGCGGACGTCAACGGCGGATTATTAGCTGGAGTTTATAGAGAGTTTTGGCGTCCGGGCTTTGAGCAGGGAGATTAGCAACTTATCATGCGATTTTGTGACCTGCCTTGCTACTATGGGCCTAGCCCGGTTAACATAATATGGACTTCTTGTAATTGTTGTTTTTATTTTCACATATATTACAAGGGTGTTTTTTGACTTATTATACCCTGTAATTATAGGTATTATTAAAACTGTTCTTATAAATCACTATAATTGTTATTTTACCTCAAATTATAGCCAGAGATTAATTGATCTTTAATACTGAAAATTGAAATATTTTATTAAAATGATTAATTGTTTTACATAAATGGCTACATCACTATTAAGTTAATTAATCAATAGTAAAAGCAATCCTATATATCCCATTTAGGCAGACATTTAATCGAAAGTTCCTTTTGGTGCATAGGGAGACACACAGAGGAGGAAGGGAGGCGATGGCTTGGTTGGAAGAAAAAAATAAAGAAAATGAGATTTCCTTTTTTTTATCGCATTAAATCTATACTATATAAAAAAGAATTGTCTTGTCAAAAACTTTTTATTTTCATTTTTGCTCTTTTAAGTTTGATAATTTTTAAATATGTCTAGTTGTCATTAATCGTTTACTAATTATATGTAACCTCTTATTAATTATGCATTTCGTCACTTTTTTAAAACCTTTGGTCACACTATTAATTTATTATTTAATCATATTATTTAGTAGAAATTTGAAATTTATTTGTAACTTATCTTCACATAATATTTAAAAATTCTAGAAAAATTAAAAATAATAAAAATTCATTAGGCTTATGTCTTATGCCTTTGGGTTTCACCTCTTATAGGAGATTATCTGTTACCTTTCATCTTATTAGCCTTTTAAAAGCATGATAATAGTATGAAAAATAATTTGTATTTATTATAATTGTAATATTATTAATAGTATAATGATTTTAATAGTACTTTTTAAATTAATAAATTATAGTATTACACTATAACTTAATAACTATACAATTAGTAAATTATTTACTAATAGTGTAATAAACTAATTATGAAATTAAAATGTAGTTACTAATAGTATTATAATTAGGCTATGCGTAATATTATTATATTTAAAAGAGAAGAAATTATTTAATATATTTTAATTATTTTAATAGATTATAACAATTATCCAAACTATATTGATTAATCATATAGTTCTTTATATACAATTTTATCATACAACTTATTCATTTAAATAAAATTATAATTATTCAGATTTCATATTGCTATATAAGTCATTTCATTATTTTGCAGCCAACAATAAACTTTAAAAAACATAAAACAAAACAGATGTACTCTCGTGCGAAGCAAGCGCACTATACTAGTTGAAATAAAATAGTATTTTTCATTGTTGTGTTGTTTGCATTTTAGCATGAGTAAGAATGAAAGATGAGATTGCGGGATACTTGTAATTTTGAGGTCAAATAATAATTATGATTAGACTAAAGTTGATGTGTTTAGTGAGGTGCAGTTTGAATCCTTATGTTTTTTCAACTTATCAAAATTTTTAAGTTTAGGAGTCGGAACAGTATGATGTTACAAGATTATTCTAACGAAAGTGGAAGGTATATACATAAAAAATCTAATCAAAACATATGTCTGTAAGTGTTTTTTTGTTTAATTTTTGTCCCAAATTCCTAAACCAATTATGTAGAAGGATGTTCATATATTTCCGTTTCCAACAACAGTATACGGAAATAGTAGGAATCGTGAAGTCACCATGCGAAATTGGAGTTGTTAGTACGTATCTCCGAGATAATTGTGTAACAATAGAAGCATTCAACACCGTTACATATAGAACAAAAGAAGAAAAATAAAAAGATAAAAAATAAAAAAATCACAAAGTATGTGATAATCGTATAACAATGGAAACATTAAACTCCACTACATATATTTTATCAAAAAAAAAAACCCATCACAAATAGCACCAAGAAGGGGGAAAAAATCTAATCAAATCACAACACTCTACCCTCATAATTGACCCAGTACAACAGATAGCATTAATCTTAAATTTCACCAAAGGCGGTATTGATATTTCATGCAGATATCTTTAAATTTCATGCCTCGTATCACCTTGCAGCGAAAAAAAAAAATCTTCTGCTAAATGGAGTTTATACATGCGGACAAATTTTCAAAACCGACCCTTTTGGGTTTTTAATTGCAAAAAACAACCGGTTTTGAAAATATTTACAAAAACCGACCTATTTAGCTGAAAACAGGTCGGTTTTTTTAAATTTTTTTGGGAAACTTCACGGGAGTTGAACTCCCGTGAAGTTTTTCTCATAACAAAACTTCACGGGAGTTGAACTCCCGTGAAGTTTGGAAGAAAAAATTTCAAAAACCGACCCAGTTTCAACCAACTGGGTCGGTTTTTATAAATAAAACTGAAATAGGTCGTTTTTTGCAATTAAAAATCCAAAGGGGTCGGTTTTGAAAATTTGTCCTTATACATGCAGATATCTTTAAATCTTTGGACAAATTTTCAAAACCAACCCTTTCGATTTTTTATTTGTAAAAAACGACCTATTTCAGTTTTATTTGTAAAAACCGACCTGGTTTCAGCCTCAGCGCAACTCCCGTGAAGTTTCGGAAACTTTTTTTTCAAAAACCGACCTGGTTTCAGCGCTGAGGTTGAAACCAGGTCGGTTTCTCTAAATAAATGTAAAACGGGTCTTTTTTTGCAATAAAAACTCCAAATGGGTTGGTTTTGAAAATTTGTCCTTAAATCTTTTTATTCATGGGGATCGTTTGATAAGTAATGGAGTTTATACATCTTCCTCCTTACTGTGTTCTCCAGCTGTGCATTCGGCCTACTAAATGTAAAGCTCTTTATTGACACGACATATCACAGTTAGGAATAACACCATCTTCTGCTCTTTCAAGAATGCAGTCCACGTCAAAATCCCTGCATACATGCATGATAATTTCACCAGGAAAAAAAAGAAAGCAAACGATTGCGCGGACTCTAATTACTTTGGCAATCTTCAACTTTGTGCAAATTCATCTTGAATCAGAATAACAACCTCTGATGGCCGTTTCGCTCGCCTCCCGGCCACAATATCACACGATGATTGCGGTTACATGTGTGTAAAATAGCTCATTTACTTATGGTAATATTACTCAAAATCATCAACATCATTGGAGAACAAGGAACAGATGAAAATGATATAAAAACATTATTACCTCCTCAGACGAAAATGGCTTTAAGCATGTTACGTGTGCATTGCAAAACAGATAAGACACAGAATGGTTTCTCATTCCACTCATGTATAAATCCAAACCATAATCAATCATGTACAAATATAAGCAGAAATCAGTAAATGAATGTGCAGAACTAAAAATTATGAGAATTTGGACTGTATACAATGAGATATCAACTGAGTCTATGTGATACGGCGACATCTGCACCAAAAGGCAATACCTCCACCTCTGCCTTGAGCCACAGCAATTTCCTCATCTATATAAAACCAAATGAAGAATGGATCCTTGGTACTAGGCTCTCTATCCTCACCTCCTAAATTTATCTGCAAGGGGCCAAAAGGTCCAATCTTTATACGGACGCACTCAAAGATGAAAGCCAACATCCTGTTTTTCCAAGAAAGTTTTCCTTCAAAGGTCAGACATCCGATGGGACCTAGATAAACTCCATTCTCGATCCTCTTTGCCTGTGTATAATGCAGATGTTACAGATGTGTTTTAACTTCAATTTAGAAGCTATAGCAAACCTTAACGAGTACGGAAAACATCTGTTGAATTTTAAGGTGCTTCTTACTTTTTATATATCAATCTTAAACTTAGAACAAAAGCATGAAGGCACTGCTATGTAAAAAACAAGCTTGAACAAGTTAAGCTCCAGCCAAGACAGATAGCCTTCACATGAGAAAGATTAACAAGCAAAGATGATCGTTCGACTTTCCTGAATTATTAACAAGTAAATCATCCAAGAATAGTCTGAAATATCTGTCTGATTAAATTTGCAATTAACAGTCTTTGTTTTTTGCTCCTGAATTTTTCTTTGCAGGATAGTGACAACTTTCAGCTCAGATTTTTAAATGATCAGCCAAAATAAAGCCTCTCCAAAGTGATAAAGGGTGTACAATCCTACGACTCCTATCATTGAATGAAAGGGCTACTTTAGAACTCATAACATGCAATCTGAGATTTCATGCTGACCTTTGGGAATCTTGAAGGTGTTTCAATCGTATTTGTTTCTTTCAATTGGACAGAGTAACCAAGTAAAGCATGCTGCTATTCCTACGTCTATTCTTCTTCTTCGCCGTCATCTTCTTTTCTCTACTTTTCTCCTAACTGTTGAATTTGTTCTCCCTTTAAATTAATTAGTCCACTCTAGAAAAGGCTAAAATATCAGATTAGCCTAAAAAGTGACATCCATTTACCAGTTTCACTTATAAAGTGACACTGGTAATAGTTTAGCCTAAAAATGACAAATACGATGACAAATAGGCATTTTCAGTGCCGGAGATAATTTTTATATGAAAATTTAAGTAATTTTTACATATAGACCCCCTACTCTATCATATTTTTCGGATTAACCCCCTAAAAAGTTTCTAAAATTTGTAAAAAGAACCCTCACTTCCCACCATCTCTTCCTTCCTCCTCCTTCCTCTTTCCCACCATCTCCTCCATTCTCTTCTCCTCCAACCCTTAACTTTCCTTCCTCTCTCCCGCTCCTTCTCTGTCCTTTCTCATGCTCATTCTTATCTTCTCCAGTTCTCCTTTCCACTATCTCCTTCATTTTCTTTTCCCCCCAATCGCCAACCTCCCCTCCTCCTCATCCTTTCTCAAACCCAACATAAAATATTCTACTTGAAGCATTAGGAGAGAGTGAATGAGAGGAGAGAAAGGAGGAGGACAAAGAAGAGAGAAGTGAAAGAAGTTAAGAAGAGATGGATTTGGAGGAAGAGGGAAAGAAGAAAGTAATATGGAGGATATGAAAAAGGAGGGAGATAGGAGAGTGGGAGAGAGGAGAGGTTAAGGATCAAGATGAGAAAAGAATGGACGAGATGATGGGAATGAGGGAGGAGATGGTGGGGGTGGGAGGGAAGGGGGAAGAGAGAGTGAAGTTTTATTTCACATATTATAAATTTGAGGAGATAAATCTGAAAATATGACAGAGTGGGGGGGTCTATATGTAAAAATTACTTAATTTTTTACTTAAAAAATTATCTCCGGCATCGGAAGCACCTATTTGTCATTGTATTTGTTACTTTTTAGGCTAAACTGTCGCTGGCATCACTTTATAGGCTAAACTGGTAAATGAGTGTTACTTTTTATGCTAATCTGGTATTTTAGCCCCCTAGAAAAGTCCCATAACATGCTAGATGTGTGGACTAATTAACTCTTAACCCATTTCTAGACTATCAACCCGCAACTCAACTTGCCCCCTCATCTGTGTTATATATTTTTGGAAAACAGGAACAGTTATGAAGCAACAGCTGAACTTGAGAAGCCTGGATACTTCCAAAAAGATCCACAAAACTTTGTAAGTATTGATTTTCACTTCAATGCTCCAGGTTAATACAATAATAGTTTACTAGAATGCTAAAAATCAGAATGGTTAGATTCATCTCTAACCATATGGGAAGCACGTAGGCGGACTTGCCCATTTGTTAATGCAACTGACTCTAACCAATTATTGAGTTACTATACATTAGAGCAAATATGGGCAATACCAAAGGAAAACCAATGGAGATTTTGTTAAACTTTATTTTTAGTGGCCCACGTTTTTATTTAAAAATATTTATCTTTTAGTTTATTTAAAAGATAATTAAAGTTTAATAATATTAAGTGCTAAATTCCTATTGGTCAGTTGGAAAGAAATTGTTAACTGCTCACGTTGATGGAACGTGGAGATTAAAGAGATTCTATTAAAGATTTGGTTCTCTCTCTACCCATAATAAGATACAGTTTTTCTCTCCATCAAGGAAATACGTAGAATCAAAAGGGCTAAGAGAGAGAAATTCAAGTCTTCATTACAGTTCTTTTTGTAGTCAATTTCTCATCAAGATTCTAATCATGGATCAAGGTACGCTCTCTTAATTAATTGTTCTTAGTAAAAATTATCTTGTTCTAAGATCTTGGTATTATGATGATTATTCAAAATTAAGTTTGATTTGCTTAAATTAAGAATTAGGTTTACATGTAGTATCAGAGCATTGATTAAAGAACTTATGATTTTCCATCAAGATTCTTGTTTCTCGTCAATTTGTTCCATTACCGTTAATTCGATTGAGTTTTGAATTCACTAATTAAATGTTTTTGCTGTTTATTGAAAGGAGTTGTATTGAATACTTTTTTTGCTGATGTTTTTCGTACTCAATTGAATACATAAGTCATTGCTACTTAAATATCATAATTTCTCTCATGCTACAGTTGACGATTATGAGCCATTACAGTATATAATAATGTGAATGGGAAAGTAAAGAGTTACTGACAAATTTGGAATTACATTCACATTCATATTCTTTATCTAAAGGATTACTTGTTTATTCATTGAGATATATATATGTATATATATTTTGAGTGAAATGAATACTTTGGGACACTTGGCTTAGTGGTAAAGTTTGAGAGGTTGGATATGAGGTTAGGAGTTCAAATCCCTATAGCCACAATATATATTTAAAGGTGTTCGGTTGGGGCTTGGTCCTTGGGGCTCTTGTGCTCTTTGAATTCAGTAAAAATATATTTTAATGTTCGTTTTCTTTTTTTTGGATTTTTAATTGTCAGGTATTGATGTTTATGAGAGTTCACTGATTATGTATGAATTGTTAGTCACCAAAGTGCTTTGTTTCTTATAACATTATTATCTAGATTGTATTCTGCAATTTAAAATTCAATTCACTCATGAATGGTTTGTTAGTCACCAAAGTGATCGTACCTTGAAGTTCTATGTCTATCATATATATATATATATTTTTTAATTACTCATGATTATGTGATGCTACTAATGAAATGACATCGTATGTATATATATTGTCATGGATAAGTTGAGGTTTATTGATTATAAGATATTTAAAAATCGTCCAAAGGATGATTGGTTAATTTTATAATCTATGAACATAATCGTGGTTAATTAATATACCTGATTAGATATGTTTAGAATATCCAAAGATAGCAAACATGTCTAATTGGAGTGTATATAATTGCCAATTATATGAAATAAAACTAAGCATCAATTATGTTTATTGTTGAACATTGATGGATCACCCAAAGGAGAATTTCGATGTACGCTTATTGTTTATTTGAATGTTATTTGAATATGTATTATGTGTTTAAGTTTATAACTCAAAGCATTAATATGTCAGCATTCTATGTATTTTGCAGCACCTGTTTTTCTTCATTCGCAAGCTTCGTCTATTATAAAGTTCAATGGGCTTAATTTCTATGAATGGTGTGAATAAGTTCAGTTTTACCTAGGTGTTCTAGATCTTGATTCGGCACTCCTGAATGATAAGCCCGCTGTTATTACTGATTCTAGTAGTGCTAAAGAAAGTTTCTTCCATAAGGCTTGGGAAAAATCAAATAGACTGAGCTTAATATTTATGCGGATGACAATAGCAAACAACATTAAGTCCATGATTCCTAAAACTGATAATGCAAAGGAATTTATGAAATTTGTGGAAGATCTCTCGCAATCTGACTCTACTGATAAGTCACTTATAGGGACATTAATGGGTACGTTGACAACCATGAAGTTCAATGGTTCTCGTACCATGCATGAGCATGTCACTGAAATGACAAACGCAACAGCAAGATTGAGATCTACGGGAATAGAAGTGAGTGAAAATTTCCTTGTGCAATTTATCATAAACTCCTTGCCTTCTAAGTATAGTCCATTCCAAATAAACTACAACACTATAAAAAATAAGTGGAATGTGACTGAATTACAAAGTATGTTCATTTAAGAGAAAGCAAGACTTAAGAAATAAGGAATTCACTCAATTAATCTCATGGGTCGTCAAGGAGCTAGAAAGAAACCAGGAAAGAAGAATAAAAAGGACAAGAAAGGACCACTGAAAGTTAATGTGTCACATGTCCAAATCCACAAATCCACAAGAAGGAACACAAGAATGATAAGTGTCATTTCTACAAAAAGCCTGGACACTATTAGAAAGATTGCCTGAAACGTAAGACATGGTTCGAAAAGAAAGGTAAGCCTATTACTTTTGTATGTTTCGTATCAAATTTGGCAGAAGTTTCTTATAATACTTGGTGGATTGATTCTGGTTGTACCACTCATGGGAAATCCAAATGAAAAGTTCATTTTCATGGGAAATCAAGTCAATGCTCCAGTTGAGGCCAGTGGAACCTATCGCTTGATTTTAGACACTAGACATCATTTAAATCTTTTCCAAACCCTTTATGTTACTACTGTTTCTCGAAACTTAGTTTCTTTGTCTAAACTTGATACCACTGAATACTCTTTTAAATTTGGGAATGGATGTTTCAGTTTGTTTAAGCATAATCATTTTATTGGTTCTGATGTTCTTTCTGATTGTTTATACAAATTAAAGCTTGATAACATTTTTTTTGAAACTCTGTTAACCTTGCATCATAATGTTGGAACTAAACGAGGTTTAGCGGATGAAAGTTCAGCTTACTTGTGGCATAAACGTTTGGGACACATATCCAAAGAAAGAATACAAAGATTGGTAAAGAATGAAATCCTTCTTAATTTGGATTTTACCAATCTTTGTATTTGTGTGGATTGTATTAAAGGAAAACATACAAACCACACAATTAAAAAAACAGCTACAAGAAGCACACAGCTCCTTAAAATTATACACACTGATATATGCGGACCTTTTGATGTTCCATTCTTTAGTAAAGAAAAATATTTTATCACCTTTATTAATGATTTTTCAAGTTATGGATATATCTTATTGCATGAATAATCTCAATCAGTAGATACTCTAGAGGTGTTTATTAATGAGATTGAAAGACAATTAGATAAAAAGGTGAAAATTGTTAGATCTGATAGAGATGGTGAATATTATGGAAAGTATGACGAAACTGGACAATGCCCTGATCCATTTGCTAAATTCCTTGAAAAGCGTGGCATATGCGCTCAGTACGTGATGCCAGGTAAACCGCAATAAAATGGTGTTGCAGAAAAGCGTAATCGTACACTAATGGACATGGTTAGGAATATGTTGAGTTATTTTTTTTTACCCTTGTCATTGTGGATGTATGCTTTAAAAACCGTAATGTATTTATTAAACAATATTCCTAGTAAGGTAGTTTCAAAGACTCCTTTTAAACTGTGGACGGGAAAAAAACCCAGTTTAAGACACCTTCATGTTTGGGATTGTCCTGCGGAAATATGAATTTATAATCCACATGAAAAGAAACTGGACTCAAGAACAACCATTGGTTTCTTCATTGGTTATACAGAAAAATCTAAATGGTATAGATTTTATTGTCCTGACCATAGTACAAGAATTGTTGAAAATGAAAATGCCAAGTTCGTTGAAAATGGTGTTATTAGTAGGGGTATGGAACCACGTAAAGTGGAAATCCAAGAAGTTAGAGTGCACGTTTCTTTACTTATAACTTCTTCTCAAGTTGTTGTTCCTACAGTTGTTGAACAATTTAACGACTTACAAGAATAAATAAATGATCAAACACTCCATGAAGAAGTTGTTACCAATGAACCTACAATGGATATACCACATGAAGAAGTAGCATTAAGAATGTCTCAAAGACAGAAAAAATCTGCTATTTCTGATGATTATGTGGTTTATCTACAAGAGTCAGAATTTGACCTTAGAATTAATAAAGATCTTGTTTTATTTTCACATGCCATGAAAAGTTATAATTCTAATAAATGGTTTGATGTTATGAAAGATGAATGAAAATCAATGGAGCATAATGACGTTTGGGATCTTGTAGAGTTGCGTGAAGGTTATAAAAGAGTTGGGTGTAAATGGATCTTTAAGACCAAACACAACTCAAATGGCAATATCGAACTATACAAGGCTAGACTCGTTGTCAAAGGTTTTACTCAGAAGGACAGCGTTGACTACAAAGAAACTTTTTCTCCTATTTTGAAAAATAATTTATTTAGAATTATTATGTCTATGGTGGCTCATTATGACTTAGAGCTACATCAAATGGATGTGAAAACTATTTTTCTAAATGGAAATTTAGATGAAGAATGTTACATGGACTAACCCGAGGGTTTTTTAGTTGAAGGAAAGGAACACATGGTGTGTAAACTTAAGAGGTCAATATACGAACTCAAACAAGCTTCCCGACAATGATATCTTAAGTTTAATGATACTATCACATCTTTTGGATTTAGGGGCTGTTTGTTTGCCTAAAAAAGAGGAAAATCAAAGAATAGAAAATTTATTTCTAAGAAAAATTATTTTGAGATTGTTTGGTTGGCTAAAAAAAGAAAGAAATCAAAGATTGGGAGATGAGTTGTCACATTATTATTGGATGATATGAGTGATTTTTTAAGAAAATTTGTTTTGAGGTTGTTTGATTGACTAAAAAAATAAGAAAATAAATTATAAGAAATATATTTCCTGTAATAGGTTCTTTTCTTGTGTTTAGTAGTTCAATCATAAAAATAAAAAAATAGATGATATGAGATGAGTTATCATTATATTATTGGATGATGTGACCCACACTTAAGGAAATCGATTTTCTAGTTTTTTGAAGGAAATTGATAGAAATAAAATGGTAATGAGATGAGATGAGATGAGTTGTCACCATATTATTGGATGATGTGAGTGATTTTTAAAGATGAGATGTGATGAAGATGAGATGAGTTGGATGATGTGGCCTATTTCTTGTGTTTGGTTTATTTTTAGGAGATGATATGAGATGAGTTGTGGGATGAAAATAATATTTTATTGGATATTGTGATAGGGATGGAAATGGATGAAAATAATATTTTATTGATTTCCATGTACTCTTTTCCTTTTCTTGATTTTTAGGAAACCAACCAAACAGACCCTTAAAGAAAACACTATTGATCGATGTATATATCTAAAGATCAGTAGGAGCAAGTTTATATTTCTTATTCTGTATGTTGATGATGTCTTGCTTACTACTAATGATCTTGGCTTGCTACACGAGATTAAAAAATTTCTCTCTAAGAACTTCGAAATGAAAGATATGGGTGAGACATCCTATGTGATTGGAATTGAAATATTCTGTGACAGATCATAAGGATTGTTAGGGTTGTCTCAGAAATCATATATTAATAAAGTTCTAGAGAGGTTCAAGATGAAAAAAATGTTCTGTATCTATTCCAATTCAGAAAGGAGATAAATTAAGCCTTATGCAATGTCCAAAGAATGAATTGGAACACAAACAAATAGAACAAATTCCTTATGCATCTATCGTTAGGAGCTGATGTATGCTCAAGTTTGTACAAGGCCAGATATTAGTTTCGTTGTCAGAATGCTGGGTAGATATCAAAGTAATCCAGGATTGGATCATTGGAAAGCTGCAAAGAAGGTATTAAGATACTTACAAGGAACAAAGGATCATATGCTCACTTGTAAGAGATCTGATCACCTTGAGGTGGTTGGATATTCAGATTCAGATTTTGCTCGATGTTTGGATACAAAAAAATCCACATTTGGTTATTTGTTCCTTCTAGCTGGAGGAGCGATCTTATAAAAAAGTGCGAAGTAGTCTGTCATTGCTGCATCGACTATGGAGGATGAGTTTGTGGCATGCTTTGAAGCCACTGTTCATGGATTATATGGCTACGGAATTTTATTTCAGAACTTGAAATTGTTGACAGTATTGTCAAGCCGCTGAAAATTTATTGTGATAATGCTACATCAGTCTTCTTTTCTAAAAACGACAAGTATTCAAAGGGTGCTAAACATATGGAATTGAAATACTTTGTCGTTAAAGAAGAAGTTCAGAGACAAATGGTGTCAATTGAGCATATTAGCATTAATTTCATGGTTGCGGATCCTTTGACAAAGGGTTGCCACCAAAGACATTTAATGGACATATCGAAAGAATGGGTATTATTAAAAATCATTACTATCTTTTATGTAAAGTTTATGTTCTTTATATATTTCACACTTTGAGCTCATCTAAATATTGTTTTTGATATATTAATGCATCATGTTTCTTATTGTTAGTATATACATGAATGATTATGTGAGTATTAACAGGATATGTCTCTGACAAGGATATTATTGTTGGACCATTATGACAGAGTCTTAGTTATCTTGCTACTTTTTGAGAGATAGAGGGTTAGGCTTGGTACTTATCTTTGGATCACAATCTTAAAAAATCTTAATAATCATGATACATAGTCCATATTTAATTACTAAAAAGACCTAGTGCTTTCTTGTCTAGTGATTATTTAATAAAATCTCATTACAGGTCATGTTAAGTTTAAAACTAATATCGTGATACATAGAAGGGACTATGTCGAGTTAACTGCGTACAACCGCTATGATCCTTATTAGTTTTCTACTTAATGATGATTAATGGTTTGATCAATATAATGATGGAATTAGCTTATACTATGCATATTATGTTGTATTATTAAACCATTACGTTAAATTATGATACATGGGCCAAGTGGGAGAATGTTAGACTTTATTTTTAGTGGCCCACGTTTTTTATTTTAAAATATTTATTTTTTAGTTTATTTATTTAAAAGATAATTAAAGTTTAATAATATTAAGTGCTAAATTTCTATTGGTCAGTTGAGAAAAATTGTCAAATAACTGCTCACGTTGATGGAACGTGGAGATAAAAGAGATTATATTTAAGACTTGGTTCTCTCTCTATCCATAATAATACAGTTTTTCTCTCCATCAAGAAAATACGTAGAATCAAAAGGGCTAAGAGAGAGAAATTCAAGTCTTCATTTGAGGTATACTTTGCTCTTATTAGATAACTTTGCTCTTATTGGATAACTTTGCTCTTATTAGAATTTTGTAATAAAATAAATTTTGTTGTGGGGATGAACATAGGTCTTCTAGACTTTTTAACTATGCCTTTAATGATATTATGGGGGTTTCCTGGTGATTTCAAAGATCATGGTAGTTTCTCTATTAAGAATATTTTAGTACAGTTTTCCGCAAAACTCACAATAGTTCACAATAGTTTTGTCAAATTTACCTTTTTTTTATCCACAATCTCTACAAGATAATTACAGTTAAAAGAACTTACTGCAGCATCGAATCGTTGAACCGCAGTGATAGGAAAATACCGCCCCTTATCCAATTCACCCTGCACAAGCACAGAGATTCCATCAATTTCTAAAAGATAAATTCATTTCAATATAAACCCAATGAGTTGTGGTCACCTGAGCGGTGAATATAAGCATCCAGGTCCTCCCCGGTGACTTCGTGCCTCCTAGGGTTTCGAGAAACCCTGAAGGATCCGCCTTCTCCGTCTTGATCGTGGCGAGAGCACGTCAGCCTGTGGACCGCGCCGGCGCTCTTGGCCGGCGTCCTTTGAGCGACCCTCACGCTGTCCTCAATAACACCTTAATGAGAAACCCTAAAGATATGTAGGAATCAATGGAAAGGGAAGGGAAGGGGGGGCCTTAGGGTTTGATTTACCGACGAGGGATTCCTTGGGCGGAGCACCCAGATCTGAGGCCGAGGCGGTGAGGATCAGCCGGCGGTGGCGAGAATTTAGGGTTTTGGATTTGAGAAGAGCGGGACGAGAGAGAGGAGAGAGGGTGGAAGCCATTGCTGCTAATTTTTCGAGCAGTAAATTTCGCTGAAAAATGTGTATAATTATTATTATTATTTATTAGTTAGGAGCCGTTGTGGTGGAGAATTTTTTGGAATTTTGGAGGGAGAAGATAAAGCTGATACTAGATGGGGCCCTTTTTTAAGAATAGAAATGGGCTTTGGACAATAAATGGGTTGGGCGTTAAGGGCTTGTTTGGATTGAGGGGAATGAGGGTGAAGGGAAGTTAGGGGAACCATTCACCTCCATTCACCTTGTTTGGGAAAACTTAGGAGGTGAAGTTAATTCACCTCCATTCACCTTGGTTCACCCCCTAATAGTATAAAAATTGTTACCCCCCAAATTGGGGTGTAACCAAGGGGAAGGGAATTCCCTTCTCTTCCCTTCCTTTCTCTTCCCTTCCCTTCACTCAGTTTCCCTTAACTTCCCTTCACCCCCTACTAATCCAAACAGGCCCTAAGTTGAGTACATAATGCAAGCTGTCAAACTTTATTTAAAAAAGAGTTTTTACATCAAAACACTTTTACTATTAGGACCTGTTTGGTTATTTCCTAAAAAACCAAAAAATAGAAATGAAAACCAAGAAATCTCAAAAAGTACAATTTCACACATTTTCATCCCTAAAACTCACCCACAATATCTAATAAAATATTATTTTTATCCAACAACTCATCCACCACATCTAATAAAATATTATTTTCATCCAACAACTCATCCATCACATCCACCACATCTAATAAAATATTACTTTCATCCACAACATCACTCAACTCATCTCATCTCATATTTAAAAATCACTCACATCATCCAATAAGATTGTGACAACTCATCTCATCTCATTAACATTTTATTTCTTTGTTTTTCTCCCAAAAAGCTAGGAAAATAATTTTCTTAAGTGTGTGTCATATCATCCAATAATATAATGACAACTCATCTCATCTCATCTATTTTTTTTATTTTTAAGAAATAACAAAACAAAAGAAAACAACCTAATACAAGAAATAGGTTTCTTATAATTTATTTTCTTATTTTTTCTGCCAACCAAACAACATCAAAATAAGTTTTCTTAAAAAATCACTCACATCATCCTATAATAAGGTGACAACTCATCTCATCTCATCTCCATTTCTTTGATTTCCTTCTTTTTTTAGCCAACCAAACAATCCTAAAACCTATTTTTCTTAGAAATATGTTTCCTTTTCTTTGATTTCCCTCTTTTTTTAGGCAAACAAACAGCCCCTTAGGATCTGTTTGGTTGTTTTCCGAAAAAAAATCAGAAATGAAAAACTCAGTGTCACGCCCCGCTTCCCAAAATACCAGGGAATCGGGACGCGAGCAAGCCCGCGACGTATTAGACTGAGAAGAGATAAGTGCTAGACCCCGTCTTCTCAATCTAATACGCTAAGCGTCTGGAAATAAAACAATACGAAGTCACAGGTCCCCGATCACACATAGCAAGAATATAAAGACAACCCAGAATAAAAATAGACATATCATCAATGGTAAATCATCCCAGACATAAAATATGGGTCAAACATACCCTTATACAAAACTGAACAAATGAATACTAAAGAATATAAAATACAATGATCAAGCGGAAAAGGAAATGCTACAAAAGTAAACTAAGGACCAACCGATAATAAAAAGACGACTAGACTTCAGCTTCTTCTTCTGCTCCGTCTACAAGGCACTCCTGCTGAGAATCCTCTGGCTCCTGGCGATCTCCTAACTGAACCTGTTCTTCTCCTAAGTCTGACGTACACCAGAGAAAACAGGTGTACGTCAGGTGCATGACGGCACGGCAAGACCCCAAGAACGTACAACTGAAATCCATAAATCAACATGAAAACACTACTAAATCATGATAACATAAAGCATCCAGAATCGATCAGGTAACGAGATCATGTAGCTAGCGATCAGAAATCATCCAAGTAACAGGATCATACACTAGATAGAATTAATACTTAAAACTCTACAACAAGAGATGTAGTACGTCGAGCGAAATAATCCAAACAAGGAAACCCTCATATATATACCTTATGTCTCAAATTGTAGATAATTAATTATTAATCCCGATCTATGTATGATCAGAATACAACTAGTCTACATCTCATAAAACCAACTAAGTCCACCATAAAGCACACAAACATATCATTCTTGTTTTACATGTTATTTGAATTAGGGAAGAATATTTTGATGTATATAATCGGGTCCCCGTAAAGTCGTCCGGGGGCCGCCTTCAAGTCAAGTATTGGCCTCTGGCCCATGTACATAACACTCACGATATCACGATAACAAGAAAGCGCTGTGCCCGTTTATATACATGCTATATTCTTCGTCCAATTCCCCTTTATAACCCCATGTTTGTCATATTAATTACGTAACTGTACATGAAATATTATGCACTAGCCACGGAGTTACCGTGGAACGACTTCTGTAAAACTATGAACATAACCGTGACTCGTAACACGTCCGATCAAGAGTGCATCGTGTAGTCAATGCTATAATAATAATAATAATCAAGGAAACCTCATACCGGGATATCGATATCGAGGGAACTCGGGACTCCTCACATCGGGATATCGATGTCGAGCGAGTATAGCCATGCTTTGAAGCACGCTTATAAATCATACTTTTAACAGAAGTCGTCTTCATGTACAGTCGATCCTATTGAATAACAACTAAGTGATAACACAACAACTTCCACTCAGCTATTCATGTCAAGCAATCCCACGCAGGTAATAATATATCTCAGACTAATTTAATTAATCAATTACTAACAGATATAAATATTGAAATGGCAAGTCACATAATAATTTACTCAGACTAATTTAATTAATCAATTACTAACAGATATAAATATTGAAATGGCAAGTCACATAATAATTTACGATAAACTAATAATTAAAATGAAATAATTAAGGTTCGGGATCTTGCCTTGGGTTAACGCAGCGGGGTTACGAGGTTAAACGGGTCTGGACAGGGGTTCTGCAGGTTCGCTGGCGAGTTGTCGACGACGAGGGAGGGCGACGGCTCTGGAGGTTAACGGAAGGTGGGCAGGCGCTGAGGACTGTGGCAACGGGGAAGGAGGACAGCGGCAATGTTTTCGCCAAAAGTTGGTTTTGTTGGTCGGCGACGGGGGAGAGGCAGCGACGTGGGCGATGATCGGAGGTGGGGCGAGGTGGTTGGAGGCGGAGGACGACGAGCCTGGTTGAGGTGGATCTGGAGGCGAGCGTGGGGCTGCGAACGGCGACGAGGAGGCGGTCGAAGGCGGTCAGGTGGCAGCTGGGCGAGGGCTCGACGGCGTGGGGGTTGGGCTTGGGGGGTCGGAGCTGGGCGCGCAGCGGTCAGGGGAGAGGTGCAGGAGGAGGCGGCGGTCAAGGCAGCGTGGGTGGATCTAGGTCGTCGGAGCTGGCGGTGTTTGGAGGCGGCAGGCTCGAAGGCGAGAGGGGAAAGCAAGAGGACGACGTGGGAGAGGTGGTGCGGTGACGGAGGTGGCCAGGGAGGCAGAGGCGTGGTGGTTTGGGCGTTGGGTTCGGAGGTCAGGGGGAAACTTGAAGAGAGATGAAGAGGAGAGAGAAGGGTACGGTGATGAGAGATAGGGAGAGGAGGTGCTGTACGTAAGAGAGGGTATGGGCGGCGTTGGAAAACGTGGAGAGGAGAGAGGGGTATTTATAGGGTAGGGATTAGGGTTAGGGTTAGAGAATAATAGGTATTAACACTAAACTTAAAAAGAAAATACTTAAGGATCAAATTGAATAATTAGGGAAAATTCTTATGAAAAAATAAACACTAACAATAATAAAATTAACAATAATACAACAATATTAATTTACAAATTTTCACTGTAACTAATTAATTTATAATTAACAAAATCAACAAATATAAAATTGGGTTTTTAAATCGTAGAAAATTGAAAAAATACAAATACTGTTTTAAAAATAATAATTAAATATTTTAAAATACAAAAAAAATATTTTAACTAGTATCAATATTCATGGTCCTTACACTCAGTTTTCAAATGATTTTAATAGTTTTTATGACATTTCCCACTTTTCTTTTCTCTTTTTTTTTGCAAAGAAATCATCACATTTCACCGCCAAGTCACACAAAAAACAAAAAAAGCCGCAATAGTAACAGTGCTTTTAGTTTTCCATTTCTTGTGTTTATTTGAACAAAAAAGAAAAAGAGAAATTAGCCGCAATAGTAACAGTATTTTCAGCATTTAAATAATCCGTTTTATTCACATTGACTGTTTCAATAGTGCTTTTAGTAATTAAAAATTCATAGAAGTGATATTTCCAAGTGTTTTCAGAGCTTTTTGATGTGAAAACACATTTCTTAAAGATCTGACGTTGCATCCTACGTGGCACTCTTATTTCTTTAAATCACAAAACGAAACAAACATGTGATTTGAAAATCGATTGAAACCAAAATCCTACGTGACAGGGGGGATTTCTTGAAATGTGACATGGCGGGGTTTTTTTTTTTTGGCAAACAAACAGCCCCTTATCAAAATTGAGACTTATTACATTTAAAGTTTTTTAATGTAAACTAAAATTATTTGCTAATATGTTTACAATGTCACACTTTTGTTTACTGTTCACCTATGAAAAATCAGATAGTCCCATTTTATCCCTATTTCCTTCCTTCCAACCCCTAACTCTAACCCTAGCCTCCTCCACTCCCCTCTTCTATAAACCCTAA